TTCCTGCAGCTCCTTTAATGTTTCTGTAGGCCTCTTAGCAGCCTTCCAGACCAGTTTTTTTTTTTTTTTTTTTTTTTTTTTTTTTTTTTTTTTTTTAATTTTGGAGGGACGTGCAGTTCTTGGTAATATCACTGTTACGCCATATTTTCTCCACTTGATGGTTACTGTGCTACATGGTAAATCTAATGCCTTGGAAATTCTTTTGTACCCTTTTCCTGACCACTTTTAACAGTGAGATCCCTCTGATGATTTGGAAGCTCTCTGCTGACCATGGCTTTTGCTGTAGCATGCAACTAGGAAAATGTCAGGAAAGACCTACTAGAACAGCCGAACTTTATTTGGGGTTAATCAGAGGCACTTTAAATGATGGCAGGTGTGTACTGACTCCTATTTTAACATGCTTCTTGTCTTTTATTAAACACTCCTATTAAACATTCACAGTGCTGGAGGAAAAAGTAAGGGAACAGTTTGAATTAATAGCTGGTCGAATCTTTTTGGCAAGTGACTTTAAGCAGATGCGTTTGGTAGTTCTGGATCAACCTGCGTAATGTTCAGGAGGAAGTTTTCACCCCTCCTTTTTTTTACAAAACTGCTTCAGCTCACATTTTTTTTTTTTTTTTTTTTTTTTTTGGATGTCTGGTGTGAATGGCTCTCTTGAGTTAATTCTGCAGAATCTCTATAGGGTTCAGGTCTGTATTCTGACTGGGCCACTCCAAATGGCACATTTTTCTTTCTGAAGCCAGAAAGCTGGAGGGTGTAAAATCAGGTTCACTTCTGCATAGAAACCAATTGGCTTTTGAGGCTTTATTGCCAAAGCTTAACTGAACAAGCAAAACAAGAGGTTAGAAGCTGATTGGTTTTTATGCAGAAGTGAGCCTGATTTTATACTCCTAAGCTTTAGTAAATAAGCCCCCTGCTGCTCAACTTTCACTAAGCTTCAGCTGGCATCCTGTAGGATATTTTGGTAAATTTGGGAATTCATTCATTTTTCCCTCAATGGCAAGTAGTCCTGGCCATGAGGCGGCAAACCAAGCCCAAATTATACTGTTGCCTCCACCATACTTCCCTGTCAGGATGATGTTTTCATGTTGGTAAGATGTACCCTTCCCTTTTTTTTTTTTTTTTTTTTTTTTTTTTTTTTTTCAGTTTTTGAAGAAAATTGGCTAACTGGGATGAGCTTTAACATCCTTCAAACGAATCTCTAACCTGAACTTGTGCTTTTAGGCTCCAGGCTGGGGGGGGGGTGATTGCCCTGCAGCTTCCATGAGCCGAGTCGGAGGAATGACCTGGTCAACAGCTCATAGAAGTACAAAAGAAATTGGATTACAGAATTTCAAAGCATGCCAGAGCTCCTCTATTGGGAAAGCTTTCAACCCACTTCGTACTCTCTCCAGAGATGTGAATGACTAGTAGAGAAACTTTCTCTCTGAACTAATGATAAAAACATTTTTTCCCCACAAGAACTTGATATGATTGACAGTTGTTTTGAATGTTTTCTTATATTTTTATTTACCCCTTCCAGTGCTCTGGGCTACTCCCCAAAGCTAGCCCAGGGCTTCTTGAGAAACAAATGAGGAAATTGGCAGTAAAAAAAAAAAAAAAAAAACTTTTAATGTGCATACTAACAGGGAATCTAGTTTAATCAGTGATCCTGATTGAACTGTCAACAGCTCCTGGTGTAATAGTAACAATCTCCATGTTGGGGGGCCATATGAGCAAGTGCACCCCCAGTGCAAAGAAAGCTATGCAGCGGGTAAGTATACAAATCCCCAAACCAATCTGTAAAAGTGAGTATAATCTCAAAATGGTACTACAGGTGAAACTCAAAAAATTAGAATATTGTGCAAAAGTTCATTTATTTCAGTAATGCAACTTAAAAGGTGAAACTAATGAGACTCATTGCATGCAAAGCAAGATAGTTCAAGCCATGTTTTGTCATAGTTGTGATGATTATGGCTTACAGCTCACGAAAACCCCAAATCCACAATTTCAGAAAATTAGAATATTGTGAAAAGGTGCAATACTCTCGGCTCAGTGTCCCACTCTAATCAGCTAATTAAGCCATAACACCTGCAAAGGGTTCCTGAGCCTTTAAATGTTCTATGGTTCAGTAGGAATCACAATCATGGGAAAGACTGCTGACCTGACAGTTATGCAGAAAACCATCATTGACACCCTCCATAAGGAGTGAAAGCCTCAAAAGGTAATTGATACAGAACTTTGGGAACATCCAACTTCTTTTGCAAAGCACATTAATAGAAAGTTGTGTGGGAGGGAAAAGTGTGGAAGAAAAAGGTGCACAAGCAGCAGGGATGACTGCAGCCTGGAGAGGATTGTCAGGAAAAGGCCATTCAAAAGTGTTGGGGACTTTCACAAGGAGTGCACTGAGGCTGGAGTCAGTGCATCAAGAGCCACCACACACAGACGAACCCTGGACATGGGCTTCAAATGTTGTATTCCTCTTGCCAAGCCGCTCCTGAACAACACTCGTCAGAAGCGTCTTACCTGGGCTAAAGAAAAACAGACCTGGTCTGTTGCTCAGTGGTCCAAAAGTCCTCTTTTCTGATGAGAGCAACTTTTGCATCTCATTTGGAAACAAGGACCCAGAGTATGGAGGAAGAATGGAGAGGCACACACTGCAAGATGCTTGAAGTCCAGTGTGAAGTTTCCAGTCTGTGTTGATTTGGGGAGCCATGTCATCTGCTGGTGTTGGTCCGCTGTTCTTCATTAAGTCCAGGGTCAATGCAGCCGTCTACCAGGAGATTTTGGAGCACTTCATGCTTCCTTCCGCAGATGAGCTTTATGGGGATGCTGACTTCATTTTCCAGCAGGACTTGGCACCTGCCCACACTACCAAAAGCACCAAAACCTGGTTCAATGACCGTGGGATTACTGTGCTTGATTGGCCAGCAAACTCTCCTGACCTGAACCCCATAGAGAATCTATGGGGCATTGCCAAGAGAAAGATGAGACATGAGACGGAACAATGCAGAAGAGCTGAAGGCCGCTATTGAAGCATCCTGGTCTTCCATAACACCTCAGCAGAGCCACAGGCTGATGGCTTCCATGCCACGCCGCATTGAGGCAGTAATTTCTGCAAAAGGGCTCAAACCAGGTACTGAGTACATATGCATGCTTATACTTTTCAGAGGTCCGATATTATTCTATGTACAATCCTTGTTTTATTGATTGCATGTAATATGCTAATTTTCTGAGATTGCGGATTTGGGGTTTTCATGAGCTGTAAGCCATAATCATCATGGCTTGAACTATCTTGCTTTGCATGTAATGAGTGCATCTCCTATATTAGTTTTCAATCACCTTTTAAGTTGCATTACTGAAATAAATGAACTTTTGCACGAAATTCTAATTTTTCGAGTTTCACCTGTATATCTCATACCCTTGGGAAGTGGACAATCGCTGTGTGCTTGTTGTCTCCACTACAGCAATAGCCATGATCTTTTGGGTCCTGTGCCCAGCAGCTTCCCCTATGCACGCTGACCACAGGGGTTCGCTGTAGTAGTGTTGATTAGTACAGTGATTTTCCTAGCTTCCCCAGTGTACCCTTGGGCATGAGATGGACCAATGTAACTATGCAGTAAAGATCACACCTAGAACTCCGCTTTTGGGGGGGGGGGGGGGAGCTTTGGCTTTCTAAAACTGTGCACTGTGTACTTTAGCTTGTTTTGGCTTGTGAGAACTTGCAGCAAGAAGAAAATGAATCGGCTAAATCACTGAATTAGGAGGAATTGAAAGAATCTCAGACTGCGCTCTGGCAATTCTAAGATGTTGCAATACATAACTATAAAAAGTGAACTTGCTAATTCTTCGTGCCTTCTGTTCTCATTTCTAACATATTTAGATCTTGTTTCTTTAAAATGTACACGTGTCCAGACTGTGGACAATATAACGGACCTTTCACGAAGGCTGCATTCACACTTTGTGTTTCCTGATCACACAGGAAAAAGGGAAAGGGAGCCATTGTAAATGTTCCCCACATGTGGTTAGCAGACGCATGGTTTGCCACACTACAAAAACAATGAAAAAATGCTCCATGCCCCAAAACACGTGGGAAATTTTGTAGTGCGTTTTGTCGTGCATAAGACAGCCCATTCAAATAAATGCTTTGCCCCATGTGCAAAGCATGGAAATGCTCCCAAAAAAGCGAGCGGAACGATGCATTCCTGCTGCACAAATTGTGAATGGGGCTTAAATTGGTTGTAAAGGTGTCTTTTGTGTTTTTAGCTTAAATGCATAGAATACATTATGGGCAGCAGCCCCCCCAAAGTCTCACCTGATCTTGTGGTCCAGAGCTGTGTATGTCTGCAGAAGCTCTACTCCCCCCCCCCTTGCCCATGTCTCTCAGGCTTGGCCGAGAGCAGCAGAAACCATGGACCTCTGCTGCTGTCAGTCAAAACCTGTGAGCAGCCCACCTTCACACCCATTGTAGCTGTGTACTTGTGTTTTGGGGTTATTGATTAATTGATTTTTTTTTTTTTTTTTTTTTTTTTTTTTTTTTAACATTTTTATAGAGGTAGATGTCCTTGTGAGCTTCACGGCCTTCCTACTTTGACCAGCTAGTCTTGCCCTTTTTTAGGAGGACTTGGGAATAGCTGTTATTGGCATCATCTGTGAAGAGGGACATCTGACAATGGATACCCCATAGCGAGTCTATGGGTGATGTAGTCTCCCAGGCATTTGCAGCTGTAGGCTTTCTCTCTTGCAAACAGAAGCTGCTGGAGACCAGACTGGAGTGGCTTCAGAATAGGTAGGTATAGGGATCCTATAGGTTTAGATAGAATGGAGGGTGTGAGTAGGTTTAGCCTTAGTATGAGACTGAACTTCCACTTTAAATAAGAACTCCCATTCTCTGTGCAAACACTGCATTGTTCTATGTTGGCCGTCTGTCGCATTTCAGACAGAACTCGATTTTCATCATTGCAACAGAAATTTGCTAATTTTATTTGTTTTTTTTTTTTTTTTTGTTTGTTTTTTTTCAGTCATCTGTTTGTTCAAAGATTGTACAGCTTCTGGGACAAAATGAGGTGGACCATCATCAGAAGCAGGTTGTCATGTTGAGTCAGGACAGTTTTTATCAGATACTGACTCCGGAGCAGAAAAGCAAGGCGCTGAAAGGCCAATTTAACTTTGATCACCCAGGTAAGGTGCTCTATATCAGTGTTGACTTGCGTTTCCATTTCATAGCAACTTTTTTTTTTTTTTTTTTTTTTTTTTTTATTGAAACTTGAAAATTAGACCTAATTGGTAGCAGTATAAATTGTTTTTTAAATGTGAGGGGCTTTGTTTCTAACCATAGTGTAGTGCAAGAATTCTTTATTTCCTGTTCCTAGCAAGAAATGTTTATAATTGTTTCTTTTATGTAATAAAAGTACACCCTTTTTTTATTGCTTAAGTGCTAAACTGGACATGAACTAGACAGCCACAATATGCACTGTACATGGCTTATCTTAGTTTCAACAGTTCAGCAAGTCCTTTGATTATGTGGATGTTTACAATCCAATCCTTGTCCAGCGCTGGCAGCATCAGTGTTGTACAAGTGTTTTATGCTGCAATCTCCGCACCCTGGAAGGAGCTGATTGGCTTCTGAAGGCCTTGTTTAAACCAGCTGCAATCTCTACTGCCCCTTTGAAAAGCTATTCTTAGTGACTTGCTTCTCAGAGGGTGGCAGAGCAGGGTCTTCTACTCATGCAGGAAGTGATGCTGCGGAGTTGACATGTCGAATTCGGTTTTGCTTTAGCCGCAAAGCTGTTTTTTACTAATCCCCCATCTCTTGCTGCCCTGTGAACAAGGCTGACGTTTTTCAATAGAATTTTATGTTCGCGTTTTGTAAAGTGTTGGTAATTGATCATATCTGGGAAGAGATGCAAGCATTTTTAATTCAAACAACCACTATATATGTTTATATGTACTAATTTACCACAACACTAAGGCATGAGCATTCCTACTTCTGTCAAATGGCTCATTTAACATCTTTTAAGTCTGCCTTATAGCAGGAATACTGCTACAGGGCTGTCTCCCTGCGCAAAATTTGTGTGTTGCTCCTGCCGTGATCGTGTGCCGGGGCACGATTTGGTCTGGACCTGCTGATTGATCCCTGTCCTATCAGACATCTTTCTGTAACTGTTTACATTTACACAGGTACAGGAAATGATGCAATTTTCTCTCTGGGCACTTTCTGTCCCAGAGAGAAAAGCAGATCCACATGAGTAAAAACACCTATAGGTCACATTTAACCCACTGATCGCACCCCCCCAAACCATTCACTGCCCTGTCACCAGTGTCATTAGTACAGTGTACAGTTTGGTGTTTTTTTTTTTTTTTTTTTTTATGAACACTGTATTGGTGTCACCGGCGACTTCAGATGGCGTTAGCGTCAGATTGTCCGCCACTTTACCAGTCATCACATTTAACTCATTGATTTCTAGGAACACGCTTGCATACACCATTAAACCTCCATTGCTAGTATAGTGTCTGAATGGATCAATATCTTTGATCAGATCAGCACTATAAGTGTTCACATTAGTATAGTGTCCCCAAAAACCTAGCTTTAGTGGGATGAGCCCTAGCGCCTGCGTTTTTTTAGCCCCTACGCTGAACCCCCTCCCCCCTTCTCCCCCTGGAAGTGCAGTGTCAGTAGGTCACTGTCACTTGATACATTATAGATTTAGTGGCCAAAATGTCCAGTGAAAGGTACTTCAATGAAGAGGCCTACAGGAGTCTGGCCATGTCAGATGAGGGCGAAGGGGAAGTCTCATTGACAGAATCTGCCTCCAGAATATGAACCTGTAGACAACCGCAGCACCCTGACAGATAGCTCAGATGATGAAGAGGTCCCTGCTAAGGGCAGGCGTACCCGACCCCCGTTCCCAGGTTGCTGAGTTGTTACAATCTCGTGACGATTCTTATATGCAGTAGAGTGCCAATATTAGTGCCGCTCTACCTTTTGGTGAACTGGCTAGCACCAGCGGCCTAGTACATCCTGGTCGTGTGCATACCAGCACGCTTGGTAACATGGCAAATCTCATAAGGTGCAGTACAAGCTGGTGCGTTGGCTAGCACAAGTAGTGTCCCGCAGCCAACAAGAATACTCTTTTTTTTTTTTTTTTTTTTTTTTTTTTTTTTTTTTGAGCTGTTTTTCCACACAAGATCTGTATGCATTGATTGTGGATCAAAGCAATTTATATGCACAACCGTTTATCGCCACCAGCCCAAATTCAAACCTTGCCAGACCATTCGCATGGAAACCTATTAGTTTTGGAAAGTAAGTAAAGGTTTTTTGGGGCCTAACCCTCAACGTGGGCAATTCCTAAAAGAATAAACAAAATGAATTGCAGTTGTATTGGATCACAGACCCGATTCATCATATGCCCATGTTCTCTGCTGCCATGGCCAGGCAAAGATATGAGAATATAATGCGATTTTATGCATTTCAACAACAATACTCTGTCGACTTTGGGGTGACTCTGAATTTGACCAGCTCCACAAAATTCGGCCCCTCGGAATTACCTTAACCAAAAATTTGCAGATATCTATACTCCCCAGCAAAACATCTGTGTTGATGAGTCCCATTAGTTTTTCTGGCTGCCTTGCATTCAAACAATTTTTCTCCCCTGCAAGTGTGCCAGATATGGGGTCAAAACGTAGAAGACATGTAATTTTTGGATTTACGAGGAAAAAGAGCCCCCCCCAGATACCCAGACTACATGGGCAACAGTGGCAAGATAGTTTGGGACTTGGTGTCATCCTTTTTTTCATATGGGGTACCACTTATACGTGGACAATTTCTATAAAAGCATGCCACTATTTAGACGTTTGTACAATCTTGGAATTGGCGCATGTGGCACCATGTGACCTAATTGTCAGGGCTTCCTCCAACAGCTTGTAAATACCCGCTTTAGAAAAGGGGGAAAAAGCCTTCTTGAGAAATGAATTGCTCGCAGTGAAGTGGAAGGTCAAATGAGATGTTTTTGTCCTGTCTTCTATTCACACAAACATGACCATCCAGATTTCCACGGCAGCTGATGTTGAGAAGCCCCTCTGTGTCCACGACTATAACCTTAACGTGAGAGGAGTGTACTTCAGTGACCAGGTGATGAAGCCATACTTGGTTTCCCAAAAAGCCAGACGCTGGCACAAAAAAGTGTTTGTTCCAGTTGGCTCTATATAATGCTTTTTGTGCTTTACAATGCAACTGGACGTAGTGAATCCTTCTGAAAATTCCAGGAAGAGATCATCACAGCCCTTTTGTATCCAGAAGGTGCTGTGGCCCAAACCCCTAACACAGATGCAGCGAGCCGGCTGCATGAGGCATATTTCCAATGCCATTCCTAGTACCCCAACCCAAAGGACACCCCAAAAAATGTCTAGCAGGCACAGGATTAGGCATGACGCCCTCCCCTTTTTTTTTTTTTTCTTCTTTGTCTTTCCTGCCCTGGCTATCCTGGCCTCTGCCTCAAGGACTGCTTCCGTCATTACCACACACTAGTGGACTATTTCATATAGGGTACACAGGGTCTTGAAAGATGTTAGTCAGGAAACTGTCAGGAAACTGGCTATTGCATTTTGAGACCCTACCTACAATCCTGGTTTAAAAAAATTTAAAAACGAAGTGTGTGTTTTACTGTTAACCATTTGATGTTTTCTTTGCTGGAATGCCAGTCAGCTTCAGCACCGACCTGTTTTTGTTCTGACAGCAACAGGGTCTTTGTGCAGCGCTGTTGGATAAAATATATCATATGCCCAAGCAGGGGGCCTGGGGTGGATAGCCCCTATGCTTCGCCATATATTTTTTAAAACCATTTTTTTACAGAGGTGGGGGGGGGGGGGGGGGTTCCTGCCTGTGGACTGAATGACAATGAAAACTTCATGTATGCCCACCATTAGAAGTGGGTGGATGCAGAGCAGTATATTCTAATGGTGGGCATACCACACTTTTTTTTTTATTTCTGGCAGTTATTTTTTCAGCTGGTGATTGGCTTTCATGTAAAAGCAATCCCATTGGCTACAGGATTGCTTTTGAATAAAAAGCAGGCTTTATTTTCAAGAATTAGACACGTAAAAAAAAAAAATAGACTAAAAAGACAAAGTTGTCTAGTCAAAATGAAGGGCTGTACATCCTGCACACCATGCAATCATACTCATCCACACATGTCAGATAAACATAATTTTAGTTGGCAGAAGGGGACAAACGTCCAAGATTGAACAGGAATCACTTGAAGGCAGTTTAACCTAGCATGAGTGCTGCTTCCGCTATCTGAGAATGTGGGTACTATGTCCATAGTTCTAGGTCCAGACGTGAAATGGTGCTGCTCCATAAAGTGCAACAAAATGTGCAAAAAATCAACAGGGTGGCCAAGGCATGAATGGGGCCTGAGGTTAAATTCAGCCTGGCTTCTTCCTCTTGCAGACGTGGTTTTTTTTATTTATTTTTTTTTTGTTGCACAAATGCTCCAGGTTTTTAGGTAGTAGCATTATTAGGTAATCTAATATCTCTCGCACACACAAACCATTATAGTTGATAAATATGACTGTCCTTATTTCAGATGCCTTTGACAATGAACTTATTTTGAAAACTCTTCGAGAGATCATGGAAGGGAAGACTGTACAGATTCCTGTATATGATTTTGTTTCACACTCCAGGTATTTATAACTTTGCTGCCATTGTAGTGGTTATGATGATGATTTTTTTTTTTTGTTTTGTTTTTTTTAACTGTCTGCAAAATGGTGTCCGGAAATACTTTGCTGATCATATATACATGTTTTGTACGCTACTAGGACAGTGATGTGCTGTCCTTCTTTGCCTCATCAGTAAAGTATGTAAGGGTTTGTTCAGATGGACACTGTCACATCCTGTGTGCAGGTTCCTTTTATGTTGCACCTATATCTGCCACAAGCTGTGTGCTCGCAGCCTGTAGAGGTGGATGCCGATAGCCTCATGTCGGAATTTTGTTCAGATCCATTCACCTGCTCCTAACTGCTTGTCATACAGTCTCCGAATAAGTGTACCCACTTGTCAGATTATGGCATGTGACTGTGACCATGTAGGTGCAATAACAAATGGCCTGCATAAAGTATTGGGGGGTCAACATTCATCTAAACGAAGCCTAAATGGTGATATTTATTCTGGCAGGTTGTAACTGTTCTTCTGGCACTGCATCAAAACTGTGTGTTCTACAAATATGTTTTAACTTTTAACAGACACCCTTATAAGTGCTGGTTTCTTATTTCAATATACTCCACATAAGGCTCAATTTGCCACGACTAGGCTTTACTGAAAGAATAGAGCATGTTCACTTCACCAAGGCCAGTTTGAGGTGAGGCTAAAGAAAAATTCACTTTGCAAAAATACCTAATATGCAAGGAACAAAAACGGAATTTTTGCTTGCACTTGATTGGATAATTAAAGTGTTTCTAAACCCACAACAATAAAATCCGTCTGTATATGCAGTAAAGCATGCTTGTTATACTCTCTGTGGAACCTAAGGGGTAATCCTCTGCATTGTGTTAAAAAAAAAAAAAAAGAAAAAAAAATGCTGGCTGGTCCTTCAGATCTTTCCCTTCTTCCAGTGTCTCCTGATAAGACATACTTTGTGGAGACACATTGCGCATGCTCAGTTTGGTGTGTATTGCTAGTTTTTTATTTTTCTTGGGAGAGTGCATGTGATCAGCACTGTCCAGACAGAGATCAGGGGTTGTGCATCCTCCTAGAGCAGAAAGAACACTCCTACAAGCTTAAACCTGTACTTGCTGAACATTGATGGATATCTCAAGACTGCTGTAACTGTTGCTGAAAACGTGTGATCAAGTAAATTTTTTGCAGCTTGCATTTTTTTGGTTTTTTTTTTTTTTAGAAATCCATAACGGCAGCTCGTTTTTTTGTTTGTGCTTTTACTTTTTTTTTTTTTTTTTTTTTTTCCTTATTGAACAGCAGAAGGCACATTGACTTGAAGTTATTAATAGAGTCCCAAACACTATATATTTTTTGAAAGAAAGGGCCATTGAATTGTTGGTCAAAGCTGTACTGTATATCCAGTTCAAAATGTACAGTATAAAATAGGTTGAATAGTCTTAAACCCTGGATTCCCCCCCTTTTCCCAACTATACTTCGCTCTGTGAGGCCTTTGCTTCCTTTGCTAGTGTCCTTACCTTGCTTAACTAGTTTATTTTTTTCTCTTACAATTCTTTAATGAACTGTTCATGGGCTTCAAATGCAGCAATAGAAGCAGTGCAACCTCCGTAAAACCTTCAGCCATAGAGCCATTGTATCCTGCTTGGGCTTTCACCTTGGCATTTTGTCCTATGTGTTTAGTTGGCCCCAGGGCACTCTACAGGTTCATGGCTGTGTGGTCCATCCCTATGGAATTCAGACACTGAAGACCCCTCCAAGTGTATGCCCATTGTGATGGGTAAATGCTGGACCCTATACAGGGTCCAAGACCATGGACGGTAAGACTAAAGATTACCCTGCATCTCCGACCGTTGCTGTATCCCCACAGTCTTGAATAGTATGTGTTCATAAGTTTAAAGGAAACTGTGCCTGTCTGTAATTTTACCTTTTTAAGTAGAAACGTTTTTGCAAATGTGGCACTAAAAGTCAATCCTCAGAGTTTGACACAATGTCCAACCAACTGACCGTTGAGCAAACCATCTGTAACACAGGATAATGCAGTAACACAAAGCAGAGGCATACAAGAGGCCTGCTATCAAGCCATGTAATTCTCTAATGTCCCTTATCTGACCTGTGGGGACAAGTTCTGTATTTTTTTTTTTTTTTTTTTTTTTTGTTTTCACCTGAGATATTGTATCCTATGGTCCCATATATTTTCAAAGGCTTTCACTTTCATTTACAATGGCAGTTAATTTTTCATTAGCCATGATAACTTTGTATTACCCAAATCAAATGAGACAGACAGCGACTTCTCTCGACCTACCCATGCTCCTCTCCAGCAGAGCAAGGAATTTCCTAGTTTGGTGGATCACCAATCCAGCCTTGGAAATGGGGAAACAATCCCTGCCATATCACTGGAAAGTGAATAACAAATGCTAGTATTGAGTTGGGTAGTAATATTTAATCCCTCACAGTTCAGAGACTGTTGTCGTCAGTGGAGACCTATCAGCGTTCCCGAGTTTGGAGCGATGAGGATGTTGTGCACCACTGTACCTCCCTCTTCTGTAGGTACAGGAATTTAGGGTGCAGTCAGACAACACCACCGCTGTGACCTATATCTGTCACAAAGGATGCACCAGGAGTCATGCAGCCTTGAAAGAAGCAAGCCAGAACATCTCATGGGAAGAGAACCTGTCCAGTGAATCTCTGCTGTCCACATCCAAGGCACGGACTTCAATATTTCAGCCGTCACCACCTGGACCAAAAGAAATTAACCCATTACCCTGACATCTTAAACCGAATGTGTCAGATGGGGGACCCTGGATGTGGATACCCTGGCCTCCAGATACAACAAATTGCATCTGTTTGTAGCTTGGACCAAGGATTTCTTAGTACTGGCACCAGATGCTTTGATAATTCTCCGGTCTCTCAGTTCAGAAGAATGTGCCTTTATTCCGGGGTGAATTCTAACTTGCCCGCTCTGCAAAATCGAGCAAAAGAAGCTGGTTTTCGGTGCACCAAACTAACCCTAGAAGAACCTGGTACACAGACATACTTTGATTACTAGGAGACAACCCCTTGCCTCTTCTGAACAAGCAGACCTGCTTGTCTTAGGGCCCACTATTCTATTCAGCTTCACAATCACTGGCTGGCCTGTCATTCCATGTCTACCTTGCTAAAAGCAAGAGGCTACTTCTAAAAAGATCTACTATTGTACCTGGAAATCCATATTTACCTGGTATAAACAGTCACTTCCCTTCAGCTCCATAGATTATTCTGGGCCTCACATTTTAGCCTTCCTAAAGTCAGGATTTGACAAAAAAGCACTCTGAAAGGACAGGTTTTGGCCTTTCCTGAAACCTCTTGCTTTTATGTCTTGATGTTCTGTGTAACCTCGCTTCTTTTTTTTTTTTTTTTTTTTTTTTGTTTGTTTGTTTCCTGATCTAGAAACCTGCTTGGGGACACTGACTCAAGCAGTTAAAATCCCCTAAGAACAGAGGTATACCACTCAGGCAAACAATCCAGATCAATCCACAACAGGTGTAGGCTCTGGCTTGCCACCACACACGACGCAATAGGAAGAGGAGTCAGCTGCAGACTGGAGGATAGATGAATATAGTGTGTGTTTATTGATCCATAGGACACAGAACACCAGGACATGAATACAGGACCTGTTAACACGACCTCGTGCCTTAATCATGATACACTTCACGATACAATAAATATACACTATATTTATCTGTCCCCCCTGTGTGTGGCTGACCCTTCCTATTGTTAGCATCACCTAGACAGCAGGCTTTTTCAGGAGGTCTGCAATGGCTCCCTCCCAGCTGAAGGATAGATTTAATACTTTTTGTTGTCCTGACTATTGACAGAATCAGAGCTGGCACGTAAACTACCACCCAGCCTGCTATAGCAGCATAGTTTGTCTACTGTAATGCCCGACTCCTGCCTATATTGGGGATTGTTATGCACACTGGGTTCAGAGCTACGTTTTAGGGATGGATAACTATAGGCTTTTTTTAGGTATCTCCTATGGACATTTTTTGGGTACTGTAGTTTTGCTGCCTGTTGTGTGCTTTTTAGTATATTTATTACTAAACCTATGCAATGATCAGCCCCAACCTGACAATCCACCATAACCTGTTGAGGCATGTGCTTCACTAGCGCTCTGAAGGTATGCTATAAGATTACCTTTTTATAGGTAATCTTTTAAGGGCAATGAAGCTCAAGGTGTTGATCAGGGAAAATTTTTGTACGATTTTGGGCATGACCACCAGACAAGAATCATAGATCATTCCTCTAAACAGCCCCTAGAGCATTGAGAAAAGGCTGGTGGAGCAAATTGTGGGAACCAGATACCATCTAAACAGCCTTTTGTATTTCACTTCTACCGAAGATGTGTTTTATGGAAGTTTTTAGAAATAATGGCTGTTTTGATTTGCCTTTATTGCACTTTAAATTAAAATCCATTTCCCATTGTGCTATTTAGGGTAAGTTTGTCAAAATCAATGATCGTATTGTGGCTACTAGACATCTGTATTAATTGCAATTGATACCTCATTTCTAGAGCAGAAGCTGTGCTCTTTCAGATTCACTCTAATTGAAAGGTGGTAGAGTGCATGAGCAGAGTGGGGAAGAGTTGCTTTGTCACAGAATACAGAACTTAAATCGGCCAATGTCTTGAAAAATTAGCTTGACTGCAAAACTTGTGAACTTGTGTTCAGTAACACACACAAGACCTGTGTGTTGTGTGTGTTTTTTTTTTTTTTTTTTTTTTTTTTTTTTTTTTTTTTTTTTTTTTTTTTTTTTTTTGTTTAATGTATGAATGTTTCTTTCACAAGGAAAGAAGAGCCTGTGACAATATACCCAGCTGATGTGGTGCTTTTTGAAGGTATACTGGCATTTTACGTTCAAGAAATCAGGGACATGTTCCGAATGAAATTGTTTGTGGACACAGACGCAGATACACGGCTATCACGAAGAGGTGAGCCTGAATATTTGTGTGTTGGGGTGGCTTTTTTTTTTTTTTTTTTTTTTTTTTTTTTTTCAATCTACATACATAGTATCTTCCATACATACAAATAACATCATATACCCATCCCACACATTGATTTACCACTCTTGCCCACATGATTAAGCCAATTAGCCGGTTTTCTAAATATGAACATAGAGTAAATTATAAAATGTGGGAAGAAATGAATGTATATTCACACTTTCTCTACCATCTCTCTCATTCGAGGTCAATCACATAGTTTCTTTTGCACAATAATAACAATAGAGCGCTAATGATGACAGACCATAGAGAGGTGCTAATGCAACCAATAATCGAATGCCTTAATCAGTTCTTGTAACTTTTTACTTCTTACAGTATTTTACTATTTTAACACTTTCTATACTTGTTGAAGGGTCTAATATAAGCCATCTCTGTGCAATCGATTTCTGAGCCTGATATAAACACCTAAACACAATGATTTGTGTATTGTATGGCAAAGTCCCCTCATTCATATAGCCCAATATACATAACTTGGGATCCAGTCCCGTGGCACACCAAACACAGAATTTATGCTACCAAGAATATCTGCCTAAAACCTATTCAGTTTGGGGCATCTCCAGACCATATGAATGAGGTCACCAGTCTGATTCCCACATCACAGGCATGCAGCATCTTGACTTCTTCCAAATGTAAATCATTTGGGGGGGTACTGTAAGTTCTATGTAATAAAAAGTAAAATTCTCGGGGAGCCGGCGCAAGGACACCGACACCAATGGTATTTACTTCCAATATATGCAGTGCCTTGAAAGTATTCATACCCTTTGAAACTTTCAACGTTTTTGTCTTAGGTGAACCTCTGCCCCAATCTCAAGTCTTTTGCGGACTAACAGGTTTTCTTCTAAGATTGCCCTGAATTTGGTTCCATCCATCTTCCCATCAACTCTGGCCAGCTTCCCTTTCCCTGCTGAAGAAAAGCCTCCCCACAACATGATGCTGCCACCACCATGTTTCCTGGTGGGGATGGTGTGTTCAGGGTGATGTGAAGTTAGTTTTCCACCACAAATAGGGTTTAGATTTTAGGCCAAAAAGTTCAATTTAGTATAATTGGACCAGAGCACGTTCTTGCATATGTTTGTCATCTCCCGCACATGGCCTTTCACAGCAAAGGGGACTTTTTCAACAATGGCTTTCTTGCATAAAGACCAGATTTGCGGGGTGCATGATCAATAGTTGTCCTGTGGACCGATTCTCCCACCTGAGCTGTACATCTCTGCAGCTCCTCCATGGGCCTCTTGGCTGCTTCTCTGGTTTTAATGCACTCCTTGCCCTGCCTGTCAGTTTAGGTGAACAGCCATATCTTGGTAGGTTTGCGGTGCCATATTCTTTCCATTTTCGGCTGCTGGTTTGAACAGTGCTCAGTGAGATGTTCAAAGCTTAGGATATTTTTGTTTTAAATCTAACCCTGCTTTAAACATCTCCAACTTTATCCCTGACCTTTTTTTCTGGTGTGTTCCTTGGCTTTCATGATGCTGTTTGTTCACAAATGTTCTCTTAACACACTTCTGAGGGCTTCACAGAACAGCTGTATTTATGCTGAAATTAAATTACACACAGGTGGACTCTGTTTACTAATTGAAGACTTGTAAAGGCAATTGGTTCCACTAGACTTTAGTTAGGGGTATCAGAGTAAACGGGGCTGAATACAAATGCACACCCCACTTTTCAGATTTCTTTGTAAAAAATTTTTAAAACCATTTATCACTTTCCTTCCATTTCAGTTATGTGCAACTTTGTTGGTCTATCACATAAGATGCATTTACGTTTTTGGTTGTAGCATGACAAAATGTGGAGCATTGCAAGGCACTGGGCATCCGGCTGTCCGGTACGAGCTAAAAAGAAAAGCCGGGAAGACAGCGCGCGGCTGGATAAAGGAAACGAATACTTTTTTTTTTTTTTTTTTTTTTTTTGGCACTGTATTTCCACTCCTCTTCAGTAATATCCCCTATATCCTCCACCCATCTTCTACATGGGAGATCAACATTTCCCTCCTCTGCTGCTATACATATTGCAGCAATAAACCTCAGATATAATTCCCTTTTTAAAAGATGATGCAAACATTACTTTGCTTAGCAGGGGTATCCCACTCCACTCTAATACCTTTCCTTGAAACTGCTCCCTCAGAACATGTCTAATCTGTAGAAAGATTGATGCTGAATGGCAAACTCCTTTTTTACTTCTTTAAATGTTTTCAGGGAATACGTCATTTACAACTGGGCCAGGTGTACTGTCCCACAGTTTTCCCATTCCTTAATTCTTCCTATACTAAACAGCTCCTGCAAGTTTTTGTTATCCCAAATTGGGGAGAAATTCTGTGAATCCTAAATACCCTATTAGTGCCTTAACTACCTGCCACAATGTTACGAACAGCGTAGGGCACTTCAAAACAAGACTCTGCTTCTAAAGCCTCCCACTACTAATGCACCGCTAATACAGGTGGTGGCGACCGCAGTGCCTGACCCCTGTCCTCATCAACATGTGACAAAGGACTGGCCAGTCTCGCACCTTGCTGTCACTTGCGTAACAGTACCACACTCGGCTGCACCTAGCACAAAGATTTTCCAGCTAATGGGACCGTAATCTAGGTGCCGCAGCCTGATTGATTTTGTCACTGGGATAAGTTATTTCAAGCAATTTTTTTTTTTTTTTTTTTTATTAATCAACTCAAAATGCACTGTCACCACAGACAGGTATGTTCAGGGATACTTTTCAATATTAAACCTATTTAGTTTATACAATACCAAAAAAAAAAAAAAAAACTTGAAGTAGGGGGGGGGGAGGTCACTGGGTTATGCTGCCTTATGACAAGATGGCATAGGAGACTTGTGACATGACAAAATGGCTGGCTGCTATACACAGCTATTTGTGTGCCCAGTATGCACAACCATTACCAAATTTCTACATGCATTCCCCCCTTCTGTCAATCAACTATTCCTTTAAGTTCTATAACTCTGAAGCAAGTAAACTGCAGAGGTGAGGCAAATCTAAAAATAGTTTCCAATCTCTGAAACCACTGTTTAGGGATCCATATTGGGGAGTTATGTAATACACTGCTAAAATTAAAGGAACACCTTTCAATCACAGTATAGCATCGTCAGTTAAACTCCTGGGATATTGATCTGGTCAGTTAAGTAGCAGAGGGGGTTGGTAATCAGTTTCAGCTGCTTTTGGTGTCTAATTGGTACACTAGATGGGCAACAATAAGACCACCCCCAAAACTGGAATGGTTTTGCAGGTGGAGGCCACTGGCATATTTTCCCCTACTCTTTTCTGTGTGGTTTGTTTTTGTTTTTTTTTTGTTTTTGTTCCCCCCCCCCCCCCCCCCCCCCCCTTTTTTTTCTCCACTAGTTATGCGTGTTGGCTAGGGTCAGTGTCACTACTGGCTGATCAAGCACAAATTTAATAAATGAAACAAATGTGATGCGCTATCACATCCTAAATAGAACCATAAGCTTTAGAAACCGTGACAGTCCAAGAAATTTTTTTTTTTCCAATAATAAACGTCCAATCCAGTATATGTTGTGTTTATCATCCAGCAATAATAAACACCGTGCTTGACTTGTGACCCCACTACCTGCTCACCTTGACCATTGACCTATAGATTATAATAGGCCAAAAACTCGCTTTTATAAGGAAAATGTGTCTCCAAATTTCTGATCCGTGACGTGTTCCTTCCACGTATTATGCTTCTTTAAACTCCAGATCTGTGCAAAATGAAACAAACATACCATAGTACAACACCATTTTTATATAAACAAAAATTAAACGTGTTACCAGTATTAACGTGTTGCCCATATTTAATGTTGATCTGTAAGTTAACCCCTTGATACTGAGTGTAAACAAAGTAGTGGCCCCAGTGGACTGGGCTTTTTTCCTTCAGGCCGCTAATTTGCGTACCTGCCTTTTGTGCTGGGAGCGTGGCACATGGTGCTCTCCCAACACAAAGCCTGGGGTGTCAGTGAGAGCCCTGGATCCCATTCTAACAATCGGGACCCTGAACTGCCAATTCACATGATCACTGTGAACCTCTGAATATCAGTGATCAGTCACTGTGAATCCCATATCTATAACTCATTTTATTCAGATTTTCAGGGAAGTGCGCTTTCGTCAAACAAGGGCCACCTGTGGTTGTGTGGGGTTTTTTTTTTTTTTTTTTTTTTTTCTTCAGACTGACTTTCCTAAATGCTGTTCCTCCATGCTGTTATTTTGAACACACACCATTCAATTACACACCAACATGCATGTCATGACTGTTGGGTCTGTTGGTTTTCTGTTACTCTGCTACACCTACTAGTAAATTTGCCACGTAGAAATATAATACCAAAAACAGTGGTTGATAAACCGTATTTTCTGGTGTATACTTTTCATGTTAAAATATAGGGTTTGGGGGCAGATTCCTCCCACTGACACCAATGATGGGGGCACGATTCCTCCCACTGACACCAATGATGGGGGCACGATTCCTCCCCACTGACACCAATGATGGGGGCACGATTCCTCCCCACTGACACCAATGATGGGGGCACGATTCCTCCCCACTGACACCAATGATGGGGGCACGATTCCTCCCCACTGACACCAATGATGGGGGCACGATTCCTCCCCACTGACACCAATGATGGGGGCACGATTCCTCCCCACTGACACCAATGATGGGGGCACGATTCCTCCCCACTGACACCAATGATGGGGGGCACGATTCCTCCCCACTGACACCAATGATGGGGGCACGATTCCTCCCCACTGACACCAATGATGGGGGCACGATTCCTCCCCACTGACACCAATGATGGGGGCAATTATACATAAAAATGATTATTTGTTAAAAATATTCACTGGCCTATTGTCCAACTCCAAGCTGTATAAACTTAAATGCTTATTGGAATTAAGCATATCAGGTGATGTGTATTTGTATGAGGAAGGGTGTGGCCTAAGGGTGATAAACACACTAGATCAAGGTGTGAATAATGGGCAGCTTCTTTTCCACAGGCAAAATGGGTCAAAAATTTGACTGACTGACTGTTTACAATGTTTGACTTTTCAAAGGGATGCAGCACTCTTGAAATTGCTAAGATATTGGGGCTTGATCACAAAACCATCAAATAGTAACAGGGTTGCAACGTTCACTGCCAAAGATTTGAGAAGAATCAAACGTATAGCTACCAGGAACCCATTATCCTTTTAGTGCTGTCGTATTCTAGAACTGCAGCCTGCCTGGAGTGCCCAGAAGTACAAGGTGTTCAGTGCTCGGACACATGGCCAAGATAAGGAAGGCTGAAACCTGACCACCACTGAACAAGACATGAAGTTGAAATGTCAAGACTGGACCAAGAAATACAGTCAGGTCCATAAGTATTGTGACATCGAATTACAACCATTGCATATCTGCTTCTCACTTGTTAAGGGACCAAAAGTAATGGGACAGAATAATCATAGATCAAACGTTCGCTTTTTAATACTTGGTTGCAAATCCTTTGCAGTCAATTACAGCCTGAAGTCTGGAACGCATAGACCTCACCAGATGCTGGGTTTCATCCCTGGTGATGCTCTGCCAGGCCTCTACTGCATTGGTCTTCAGTTCCTGCTTGTTCTTGGGGCATTTTCCCTTCAGTTTTGTCTTTAGCAAGTGAAATGCATGTTCAATCGGATTCAGGTCAGGTGATTGACTTGGCCATTGCATAACATTCCACTTCTTTCCCTTAAACTCTTTGGTTGCTTTTGCAGTATGCTTTGGGTCATTGTCCATCTGCACTGTGAAGCGGCGTCCAATGAGTTCTGAAGCATTTGGCTGAATATGAGCAGATATTGCCCGAAACACTTCAGAATTCATCCTGCTGCTTTTGTCAGCAGTCACATCATCAATAAATACAAGAGAACCAGTTCCATTGGCAGCCATACATGCCCACGCCATGACACTACCACCACCATTCTTCACTGATCAGGTGGTATGCTTAGGATCATGAGCAGTTCCTTTCCTTCTCCATACTCTTCTCTTCCCATCACTCTGGTACAAGTTGATCTTGGTCTCATCTGTCCATAGGATGTTGTTCCAGAACTGTGAAGGCTTTTTTAGATGTTTGGCAAACTCTAATCTGGCCTCCCTGTTTTTGAGGCTCACCAATGGTTTACATCTTGTGGTGAACCCTCTGTATTCACTCTGGTGAAGTCTTCTCTTGATTGTTGACTTTGACACACATACACCTACCTCCTGGAGAGTGTTCTTGATCTGGCCAACTGTTGTGAAGGGTGTTTTCTTCACCAGGGAAAGAATTCTTCGGTCATCCACCAGTTGTTTTCCATGGTCTTCCGGGTCTTTTGGTGTTGCTGAGCTCACTGGTGCGTTCCTTCTTTTTAAGAATGTTCCAAACAGTTGTTTTGGCCACGCCTAATTTTTTTGCTATCTCTCTGATGGGTTTGTTTTGTTTTTTCAGCCTAATGATGGCTTGCTTCACTGATAGTGACAGCTCTTTGGATCTCATCTTGAGAGTTGACAGCAACAGATTCCAAATGCAAATAGCACACTTGAAATGAACTCTGGACCTTTTTATTTGCTCATTGTAATTGGGATAATGAGGGAATAACACACACCTGGCCATGGAACAGCTGAGAAGCCAATTGTCCCATTACGTTTGGTCCCTTAACAAGTGGGAGGCAGATATGCAAACTGTTGTAATTCCTACACTGTTCACCTGATTTGGATGTAAATATCCTCAAATTAAAGCTGACAGTCTGCAGTTGAAGCACATCTTGTTCGTTTCATTTCAAATCCATTGCGGTGGTGTATAGAGCCAAAAATGTTAGAATTGTGTCGCTGTCCCAATATTTATGGACCTGACTGTATCTGAAGACAGGTTTTATGGACTGATAGGATGAGTGACTCTTGACAGACAAGTTGGATGGGTCTGTGGCTGGATCAGTAACAGGCACAGAGCTCCACTTCAACTCTGACACCAGCGAGGCGGAGGTTGGGTACTGGTATGGTATGGGCTGGTAATATTTAAAGATGATCTAGTTGGAACTTTTTCGGGTTGAAGATAGACTCAGACTCAAAATCAACTCCCAAACCTACTGCCAGTATTTTTTACACTTTCTTCAAGCAGTGGTACAGGAAAGTATGTATCTTTCAAGACCGTGCTAATATTGATGCATGCAATGGGAGCATTATCCTGCATAAAGTACTCCACTGTGTGGCTGGCCAGTGAAGACCTCAAAGATGAAAGAATGACATGTTCCCCCCCCCCCCCCCCCCCCCCCTTCCTCTCCCGAGCTAAAGCCTATTAAGCACTTATGGGAGCTTTACTGTGAAGGAAAAATGGTACGCCTCTGAACAGTGTCTGGGAAGCTGTGGTTGCTGCTGCACAAAAAGTTGACAATCAACAGACTCCATGAATGGATGGCTTATGACTGTTATTGAAGAGGGTGGCTATATTGGTTACTGATAAATTTTTATTTATTTTTTTGAAATGCCCGAATGTTTTTGTATGTTTTGAGGAGTTTAGTTATTCTCACTTTGACAGATGAAAAAGAAAAAAAATTCCCATCTCACTTGTTTTTTTCATTTAGTTGTATATTTCTGCGCACTAATAATTGCCTAGTAATTGTGCACACCGATTTTCTCCTAAGAAGAGCCAAAACTTTACTTTTACTTAAATGTTCAGGTTTGAGGATTAACATTTTGGATTGACATAAAGCACTGTAGTTCAATAATAAAACTCTCAAAAATACAACTTGCCTAATGTGCACACAGTGTATTTCCTTAATTTCCCTGGCTTTCCACAATATAGTCACCTCATCCTTTTGTAACATTTTAATAAGTAGAGATCTAGGGTGACCCCCTGTTGGTGAAGTTCTGGAACGCTTCCTGAGAGCTCTTTCTATGGCAAATAGACTTGTAAAGAAGTCTCTCCCAAAAGTATCTGCCAGCCATTTTTTCTAAAAATTCAATATTTTAGCCCTCACTTTGTTCAGGAAAGCCCAAAATTTGTATTGCTCCTGCACAGCCTGTTCTCAAAGTCCTCCTACTTTTTTTTTTTTTTTTTTCTCTCTTTTTTTTTGCTTTCATCTCCTTTTCCATCGGTTTCACATTTTCCACCATGCTAATCCTGCCCTCCAATACTGTTTGCTCACCTTTTTTGCAAATTTTGTCTAGGGAAGGATACACATATTCTTTAATACCCTTGAACTGGTCAAACCTTTTGAGCAAGGAGGACTTGGTTATTGACTGCTTGAAGGACTTCTCTCAGGGAACGTTTTTGTCCTTGGTCGCTCCATTCACTTCTGAGGAGTTTGCCATTGCTACCTCAGCCCCCTGTGGTGTGTTTTGTCCCTCTGGGCTCTGTATGTTCTGATCTTTTGCTGAAGAGGGTCCCACCAGGGACTTGGCTTGTGGTACTGGTGGCTGCTGCCCCTTTGATGGTGTATGTGCAAATTGCCTATTCAGGCTTCATTAGGGACGTAGATGGCCTACACCTATAGAAAGAAAGGGCATCACTGAACTTTTGGGCAAAGCCAGGTCTTGACAAATTTTGCTTTGAATTTAGGAGTCGGCTTAAAGTAGGCAGGGCAAAAAAAACCTGGCTCCTCAGTACAGTACTCGCCCTCTTCCTGCCCCCGGCCAATTTTCAGCTTTCATACTTTGACAATTGCATGGTCATGCAACACTGTATCCATATAAAATTTATTTTGTTTACCCCCACACAAATAGAGCTTTCTTTTGGCAGTATTTAATCACCACCCTTTTTTTTTTTTTTTTTTTTTTTTTTTTTTTTTTTTTTTTTTTTTTTTTTTTTTTTTGGCGAGTCTGGGCTCCAATAAGTGCCCCCCATAGCAAGTCACTTCCTGTCAGGGCACTCGAGTGGGCTTACTTTTGAGCCCTGCTGTGTGTCTATAGAGTACATGACAGTGCTAGACCCTGCTACTGTGAACATAAAGGTAAAAAACACACAGGGTTCTTATGAATGCAGATTGAGGGGGCTCCAGAAAGTTTGCGGTGAGAGGAGGGTGGTTTTACTGTTGCCTCTGGGTTTTAGTATACCAAGATGGGTTTCCAGAGTTTGGAGGCTTTAAAGATCTTTATTAAGAAAGAAGCCTCTACTCCTGTGTCCAGGTCTTACCAGAGACTGGCATGCTGTACATACAGGTGTGCACAGCCTTTAAATTCAGACCTGAACAAAGTTCAAGACTCCATCCTTAAGACTGTTTTTTGTGCTTCACCCTTTCCAGGAGTCTGTGAGACTGGAAGCCACTAGTGGTGTGGTGTCTGCACAGTGAGCCCAATGAGTAGCAAGGAGCTAAGGTACAGAGGTGTACATGAGCACATGTCAGAAGGACCAGCAAAAGGTCTTCATTTTGAGGCCTTCCCTACAAGAGGGCCTGGGGGCTTACATCGTTTTAAATTTTTTTTATATAAAATATAAAAATTTAATTTAATGAGTGAAACCCCCGCAAGGGAAGCTGTTTTGTTTGAACTTTCATTCTTAATAAAAGTGGGCCCACCAAGCACTGAAACTGCATATTCCTTTTGTTTGTGTGAACTCACCGGAAAACGCTACATCACAAAGTGAGATGCATATACATAGTTTTAATTCACACCAATTTCAAGACTGTTCAACTATCAGAAAAGCTTATTACATACAGAGATTTCTAACTGGATTGAAAATAAACTTTGAGAATGTGTTAATACAGTCTATGCCACTTTGTCATCCCCAGGGTTCCTAATTAAATATTATGGTGGGACTGATATATTTTAAGGGTAGGCAGACATTTCACTGTCAGGTGGAAGGTTATAAGAATTCACGCTTTTGTTAATACACTATTCTAACTATAGACATAATTGTAAGTACTTTACTTTCTCCCCCCCCCCCCCCCCCCCCCCCCCCCATGCAGTACTTAGAGACATCAATGAACGAGGTCGTGATTTGGAGCAGATTCTCTCGCAATATATCACTTTTGTGAAGCCAGCATTTGAAGAATTCTGTCTGCCTGTAAGTATCTTTTTATTTTTGCTGCAATTTAAATAAGTGTGTGTAAAACAAATAAAAATGTATACTTTTTCATATTGTATATATTGCCTTATACTATATACATTGTTTTGCATTGTAAAATCTAGATAATTTTGAGCTTCATTTTGGAGTGATTGCGCAGTGTATGGTTTTAGTGTTCGTGTATCAACATTTAATTTGAAGAACTGTGGATTGTGTTTTTTTTTTTTTTTTTTTTTTTTTTTTTTTTTTTTTTTTTAATAAACCACAAATCTTCACTTCCACTTTTTTGTAGAGTTTTCCTTAAAGATGTGTACTTATCATTTTGAGGTATAGGGCAACTCTGTAGTCACTCTGAGGAAAAAAAAATAGCTGATGGTTAAGTGGCAACGAGAGGTACCTGCAGACGGCTTTTCTTGCCCTCCGTTTTGAGGTTTACATACACTTTAATTTAAAAAAGTCATGGTATTCAGGCAAAAGTGAAATATGAACAAAGCACAGTCTTTTATACTGTGTGCTTGTCTCTATTCAAAGCACAGAGTTTAATTCCTCCTCTGCTTCTTCATTTCTCTATCTGCATGAGTCACTTTTGACAGCTTTCCCTCATATTTGGTGACAGAGGAGAGAGCTCCAGCACAATCCTGTGATTGCAGCTACATCTGATGTTTCTCTGCATTGTGAGGAGGGGGTTTTCCTCTCCCTCCAGTCAGGGCTCAGCTTTTTTTTTTTTTTTTTTTTTTTTTTCTTCACCGAGCTCTGCAGTGTGAGTCTTCAAATTCTTGCTTTTTATAGCTGTGAGATGCTGTGTAAAATGTGTTTTTGGAAGGCTGTAGAGAAGAGATGTTGACTGATAAAAGGGTACAACTTAAGCAGGAGAATTTTTCATCCATCACTTGATGCTGATCATATGGTCACTTCTCTGGGTATAGGTAAGGATTTTCAACCACATTAAGCACTTCCTGGTGGTGGCAAGCTTCCCTGCACCATCCAAAATGTACTACTGGTCTTCTAGGCTAGGCCATGATTTTGTGTGTGGTGTTTTTTTTTTTTTTTTTTTTTTTTTTTCCTTGCAGGGCTTGGCAAGTGTGCTAGTGAATCTAGGAGCCAGTTTAAAAAAGTTAGCCTTAACTAACAAAGCTTTATAACAGGGGTCCGGTTCACGGACCTTCACACTCTTGGAGGGCTGGACTATAGTTCTAACAAAAAAAAAAAAAAAAAATAACAAATTCCTATGCGCACTGCACATCTTATTTGTAGTGTGAAAAAAATACAATATTTTTTAAAATGCACTGGATACCGCCATGCACTGCAACGAATTGGACAACAAAATGCAGTGTACACTAGCACACTGGACTCTAATACACTGGACATGACAATGCACTGTGCCTGATGTGCGCTCCTACTCTCCTGTTGCCCCTCTGGCCACAGCAGGTGAAATCCTGGGCTGCCAGGCTGTCTCAGTGTCCTCTATGGCCGAGGACCCAGCGAGCAGCCTAGCTATTTGCCGGCTGGTGTATTTTATCTGGCCTGCCGAAAAAAGGAAATAAAATAACATCTTTGGCAGGCTATAGTTTTCAGGGCCCCTGCTTTATAACCACTATGCGCACAGATTAGCTAATGTCAAAGGGGAGTGTGGGGGAACCTTTCCACACAGCAGCGGATCTACTGGGGGGGAGGGGGCGGAGAATACATGGGCCAGTATGTGAAGAAGGAAAAAAAAAAACTTTAGTTTTTAGATGTTAACCACTTGATCTTTGGAAGATTTACTCCCTTCATGTCCAGGACATTTTTTGCTATACGGCAGTGCGCCACTTTAATGGACTGCATGGTCTTTTGGGGAAAACACATAAAATTTTAATTTGTGTATAAATGGAGCGTTTTTTTTTTTTTTTTTTTTTTTTTTTTTTTATCCCATAAAAAAAAAATAATTTTTACATATATCTAGGCCAAATATATTCTGCTACATGTCTTTTGGTTAAAGTGTATACTAATTGATTTGCTTGAAAATTTAGTGTGTGCTCTCACAGGGTGACTATAGGTAGAAATGATCAGGAAAAGGACATGGGTTTGTGTACATCTGAATGCATTACTGTAAAGCGTTAACTTTGGGTGGAAACATTTTTATTGCAGATGTCTCCAGATTTTGATATTTCTAGATGGGGCTCCGTAGTTTGGAAACTTCAAAGCTCCTTTTGAGAGGGAATAAACCTCCAACCCAACTATCTGGGCTTTGTAGACAGCCAGCAGGGTGTGTACCCAAATGCACACAGCCTTCTAATGTTGGTTTGCTGAGAGTTGTAGGGGGAGTGGAGGGCAGTTGGAGCAGTGGCTGCCATAGAGTGTGTAGATGCAGTATGTGCGTTTTTTTTTTTTTTTTTTTTTTTTTTTTTTTTTTTTTTTTTTTTAAGGGCTCGAGGATGTGAGTTCAAGAAGCCCAAGGCTGTGCTAGGCTCGGTATTTTATTAATTTGTATTTTGGCTGGAGAAGAGCTCCTGTGTGGTAAAGCTTATGCTGGACTAATTTGTGTGTGGGGGGGGGGGGGGGGGGGGGGTTGTAAACATGGCCTACCAGGCCTTTTAGAGTTCCTGGCTGACATGAACTCACTTGAACATGCATCCACTGCTAGAGCGAATGATCCCTAATGTCACAAAGTGTGCATGCATGCGTGAATTTTAACTAGTAATGTCAGTGTCTTATAGTGGCACTGTAATAGTAAGGTGGGCATTCTAGCATTGACATCAGTACAGTGAATGCAGGTTATTGACCATGATCACTGCATTAGTGTCACTAGCAATGGGTAGGAAGGGGTTAACACCTGGAAGTGTAATGTAACAGCACTGTGTACTATTACTAAAGGGTGTGCCTTTTTTTTTTTTTTTTTTTTTTTTTTTTTTGTCTTCTTGCTTTGCAGGTCAGTAGATACATCTGTGTTGTAAAAAAAACAGCTTTCATGCCACTTACTCTGACCGGCTGGTCCTGGCCATGAATCATTGGCAGGGACCCTGTGATCACTATGTAAGGGAGCCCGTGAGACCGCAGTAGGGGGTGCCCACACACTTGCATCATCCCTACCCCAAAATGCAGAATCTCATGCCTGGTGACAACCGTGCATGGGCTGACAAACCCTGGCGCCAGGATGCAATTTGTTGTTGCCATGGCCACCAAGTGCCTGGGATTTGTCGAGCCCTGCCATATAATAGATATTAGGCATGAATGACCATGTTATGCTATATCTAAACTACTAAGGGGTGACCTTTCCTCAACATAAAATATATTCTACTACATCTAAATTCTGAAACTATTGTAGCAAAACCTTTTGAACTGGCCTCTAGAATCCAGTATGTATCTTGTGTTAATGTAAGGAGCTTTAAAAGGTATAGGCTAATGAAAACAAAGTAGAGCAATACAGAATTTGGCATAACTTACTACAGTAAAGTTTCACAATGTTTTTTTTTTTTTTTTTTTTTTTTTTTTTTTCCTCCCTCATTGAATGCAGACCAAAAAATACGCGGATGTGATTATTCCCAGAGGTGCTGATAACCTGGGTAAGTGAATATCAGAATATGATTGGTTTGATATGGTGAAAATAGTTTGTTCCTTTACCACAAATTTGCTATTTTATTACTCAAAGCCTTAGTTTGGTTTAATAGCACTGAAAGTAGCATAGGTTTCTGTCGTGACGTAGACCTCAGCAGGTCTACAAACCCTTCTACTTGAGCTCTGTCTTTGTAGATGAAAGGTGGCTCTATGGGGCCCTTTAGCGGATGAAATTACCCAGAGTTTTCTGGGAATATACATGCAGTTTACTTTTGTCCACTGAAGCTCTGCCATCAAGTCACACCCCTGCTCCTCCCACCAGCTACTGAATGACCATGGCTAGAGCCTGTTCAGTCGCTGCTGTGTATTGTGCCTGTGAAGGGTACAGGAAGCGTGCGCCACTACGTCCACCTGGAAGTTTGGGGAAGCAGCAAGATAATGGCGCAGAGATATAAGAGAAAAATGTACAGGGTGATTTCAAGCAAAAAATGTAATTCTACTTTTAAGGTTAAGTTCACACTTGTTTTGAAAAGCAATCCACTGTGGGTTGTCTTGCAGCATGAACTGCAACTGAGAAGCCACCAGTTTGACAGGCAGTGCCACATTAATTTCACAAGCGAACTGTTGGATTTCAGATGAAAGTGATTGGGCCAATTTTATCCTGACAGTCTTACTGTATATTATTCACACCAATCGTGTGTCTTCTGGTCATGGCACTTTCAGGCATATTTTATGCCATTTACTTATCACTTTGGACAAAGTGACATAAATCACAAATAAACAGTTTAAGGGATGCATGTACATTGTCTCCCCATTTTCTCGTGTGTGTATGTATCTCTCTCTATCACATGTTGTCCCTTTTTTCCCTTTTTTTTTTTTTTTTTTTTTTTTTTTTTTTGTATTTCTATTTGTTAGTTTATTTGAGATTTATATTTATGCACTAATTAGGTTATTTGAGATTTATATTTATGCACTAATTAGGTTATTTAAGTGTATTTAGGTACCATGCAGACAAAGTCACTATCCCATCCGGACCCATGCTGTTCTGCCATTTTAGGTGCCTTTTCTTCCCCCAGCCATCTTGCAGTCATCCTCAGAGCTGACAGCTGGAGGCTGGACAGTTCTGGATGGAGGGCGGGAGCTGGCTGAGGTTTATCAAGCTAGTGATTGGTTGCTAGGATGAAGGGCAGTCTTGTCTGTTAATCACTCTGTAACGTAGGACAGTGGTGGGGGGGGGGGGGGGGCGAAGTTAAAGGGGCTGAGGACATTAGTGTGAAGGAGGGCTGATGTGAAAGGAGCTGAGGACTGAATGTGGGGGGGGCTGAGGAAGTACAGTAGCGTGTGTGGGGGGGTCTGAGGACAGTAATGTGGGGTGATGATGTAAAAAGCGGCAGAGGACAGTAATGTTGGGGGGTGGAAGTGTGAGAACACTACTGTGAGGGGGAGCTGAGGACCCTCATCAAGGGGGATCTTGCTGTGAATAAGGAGGGGACTGTGACGTGCAGTGGGGATTGAGGACACCAGCTCAGATCTGTACATGTGCATTTGGTGCACACATCGTGGGTAGGTCAGCCCATTCATTTTAAAGTGTTGCACTACCTGCGAGAAACGCTTAGAAGTCACGACTTTTTTTCAAAATTGCAGCAACACATGGTTTGGTGCACGTGAAAATTCACCACAGGGGAGCCTACGTGAGATTCAGACCTCTGATGTATTAAAATTTTACTGCCCGGACCTCAGTGAATTTTAATTCAATATCCCGGCTCTAAACATATATTTAAGTGTTGCTGCACATTGATGGCTGTAGAGATCTTACTCTCACTGTGCATTTAAGTTAACACTAAACTGATGACCTGTAGAGACCTCTAGAACATTTTGTGTACTGACGTTTGTCAGTTTCATGGGCATGTGCAAAAAAATTGGGTAATATATTGTGTGCAATAAAATAGAAGTGTGTTTTCTGGACATATAGGTTTGATCTTGTTCTGGCTGTATTGATGAAAAAAAATTGCAACTATCACCACTTCTCCAGGGCTGGTTTTCAGAAAACCTACAAGTGGGGGTTTTAACTAATGTTAAAAATGTACACTATATAAATTTGAAGATGTGCAAAATGGCTATAGTAGCAGGAGAAATATGCTTGTCTGGTCTCAGAAAGTGGTGGACTTTCTTCCTGCTCTACACACCTTTTTGACACATGCGAAAACAATTTGTGCAGTTTAAGGCCTGAAAGGTAAACCGGTTTCTGAAGCCATGGACACCAAAACAAAAATGAATGGAAATTAGTTTTGACCTCCTATGTAGCATTGCATGCCTAAGCTGGTAGTTCATAGGTAAGTGAGCATCCCAGAGATATGCCAAATATTGTCCCACTTCATGACATCTTTTTTAACATAAATTTTTTTTTTTCTTAACAGTGGCCATCAACTTGATTGTTCAGCACATCCAAGATATCCTAAATGGTGGATTAACAAAGAGGCAGACTAATGGTTATGTGAACGGTTACACGAGCCATCGGAGTAGGCATCCCTCGGAATCCAGCAGCAGCCGACCTCACTAAAGTGCCCTGTGATTATGGAATCTGTATATACTTTACACCAATACAAAGTATTCCACTAAAACCTGGAGAGACAAACCAGCTCTCTTTTTGGAGGAAATAGTTTCCTATGGGCTATATGAGCTCTGGCCTTTATTCTGCAAGAAATTTAACCTGACTACTGCAACAAGAACAAAACATGCTGGAATTTGCTGAGTCATAATTGGGAAGCTGTGGCCTAATATGATGCCTTTTTTTTTTTTTTTTCTTTCATTTTTTTCTTCTAATTTTTGAATGGAGAAAAGGAAAGCCTGGACTAAAAAAAAAAAAAAAAAAATCTAAACTTGAACAACCATACTGACTACTGAAAAAAAAATGTCCATAAACTACCCTGATATCCCATTAAATATAGATTTGTCATAATGTGAAATCCTGCAGTTATTTGCCACAAAAGTATTTTCATAACTTTGCTATTTGAGTGTTATTTCTAGGGTAAGATTGGATAAATGTGCAGTAATTGAGGCAGTGTCACAACACCACAAGATAGGTGTGCTATCCACTTGATATTTGTAAGGCTTTCTTTTTTGTTTCTAGATGTTAAACATCTGATGATTTGGTAAGGTGGGTAGCAGGGCATCACCACTTTAAAACAGACTTGCCTTTTTTTCCAGTGCCAAAAAGCATGATTGTGGGTTTTATAATGTTACTAATGGGAGACATTCATATTTGCATTGTTTAAAGTTGGCGAAGTATTTATTTTATTTACTTTCTACCCTGTTACTGCTTTCTTTTTTTAAATCTCTACTGTATTGTTCCCTTTCTAAATAATGATCTAATAAAAAGCTGTTATGAACGGCAGAAAAATATATACTTAAAAAAGAAAAAAAACTTGCTCAAGGTGTTTGTACTATTGCATATGTTGCAAGTTATGTTAAATGGTTGATGATATGTTAAATGGTTGATGAAAGTGTTCCCTGTTGGACTGCAATTTCAGAGGTTGCCTCATTTTAACCGCATACCCTTTTCTTTTTTTTTTGCGCACCTAACTGACTGAAGAGGATGTAGTACTTGACTTACTCTACCACTTGGTTACTGACTTGAATGGATTGTTCTTACCCTCCTGAAGGATAGGAAGTCTTGCAGACACAATTGGCTTTATTTCATAGTAATTGCTTTTGTGCAGGGTGTTACACACATTTCTTTCCATATACATTTTTCTATGGGACCTTTTTATTCTGGCTCTTTCAGAGATCAGTTTTAACCCATTAACTCAGACCTTCCACGTCGAAATAATATCCCTAGCGTAGTAAAGAGCGTTACACTCCCTAGAGTGTAGCTCGGGGGTAAAGTTTCGGCACCACAAGCGGTAACCCCAACCTATCCTCGGGAATACCCTGCAGCGTTGCTCCGCGATCTCTTCTGCACTCACCTTGTCCTTCGCTCCTGCATTGTCCCTTCTGCAGCGTCCCTGGCAATGTCCTCCGGCCAATGCCGGCATCCGTCTTTTGGGTTCCGTTCCCTGCGAAGGACGTAACCGGCGGGAAATTTAAAGATTTTAAAAAGTGACATTCACTTAATACACTAAAATCACATGGTAAAACATTACTGGATCAAACCATTTCACATACATTTTTATTCCTAGTGCTTTGTCCTGTGCCCTGCCTGCATTTTTACTGTTCTTTCTGCCTGGAAACTGAGAAGTCCAAAAGAGCGTCCCTTTTTTTTTTTTTTTTTTTTTTTTTTTTTTTTTTTTTTTTTTTTTTTTTTTTAGTCAAAAGCGGTTTTAGACCGGCTAGAGAACAGCAGTAGTAAATTGGAACCACTTGCAGAATTGAGTGATGTTTAGTGGGGAAATTCGTCATCAAACACTGAAAACGATTTTGCAACTAAGCTCAGTGATGTGCGAACTTGGCGCTCTATTTCAAATTTCAGTGTTTTTTGTTTGATTACATTATTGATTTTTATATATTTTTATGATTATTAAATTAAAATTTGAAACCCGAAATTATAACATACCCGGGATGTTTACTAAATTCTTGTTTGGACAGATTTCAGTGAGTTATTCCTAAGAATTACAAGCCTACAAGAAAGAGACCTATTTCCATGCAAAAAAAATTTACTGCTTTGAGCACAGAAATACTGACCTAATCCTACCGCTAGGGAGGTTAAACAAGGACAAGGTTGTCCTGAGGCCTCTTCTCCTTAGGGTGGTTTCCTACCTCTACCTCAACCGGGACATTGTACTTCTTCCCCCCCCCCCCCCCCCCCTATTCTTTTTATTCTTTTAAAAAAAAAAAAAAAAAAAAAATGTAAACCCAGCCTTTCATATTCCTGATGTGCCTGCTATACCCTTTACATGTATGAAATAGTATCCCATTATTTGTATTGCTTCCTTTTTTATGTGAAATCTCTAGTATTCCTGCTAGTCCCTCTGCTTGCCTATAAAAATTGACTACACTAGGCATGAAAGCAAAGTTGTGGTCAGTGTTGTAGCTGGGCCCCTGGGCTCAGACTGCTCTCCTCAACTAATTAGACTTCTGCTAACACCCTCCTTAGCCAATTACTAGGAAGCTCGGTGTACTGAGCTTGTGCTGCTGAGAACAGACAGTATTCAATCACTTCTATTAAAAAGTTATTGATAATGTTTTGCCTTTTTCATTTCTATTTGTAAACTGAATGGGTTGTTTTACAACTGGGCTGTCAAACTCCATTTCATCAGAGGCTGTATCAGCATTATGGTTGCTATAAAGGGCTGGTTGTATTTGTAAGACTAGCCCCCCCCCCCCACCCAGAAGTAGAGAGTCTCCCACCCTTACATTACAGTGCACCGTCTTCTTGTGCTGCTGCTGGGAAGAAAGTGCAAGGTCTGCTGAATGCTGAGATGAGGGGCTGATGTGGCTGCACAGAGAAGAGCAAGATCTGACAGCATTTCTGTCCTCTCTGTTGCTGGGATAAGGTGGGGGAAGAGATGATTGGGGTGCTATAGCTGCAGGAGCGGTGCAAGGGCCATGTCTTTTGCCATGTATTTTACAAGGTGAAGGATATATATGGGCTGTTACATTTTACCAAGTGCTTGTCCAGCCCTCTGCTGCCAGTTTTGGGCATAAGCTGCTGCCAGCTACTCTGATTACTTTTAAGCCCTTTCCTTGATCCTTTTGTGATGAGAGCTTATTAGCATTGCTTGTTCTGTTGCATATCCCTTAGTTTTTTTTTGTACAACTATGTGACTGCACAACAATATAAATAAATGCCATATGAAACTATGGAACTAGTAGCAGACAATGAACCAGATCTGTCCATCTAAATAGTGCAGTCCTCCAAAACAGCAGCTCTCAGCTGCTCGGTAATTGGTGGGATGATACAGGCATTCTTCTCCTGCCTCAACTGCAGTGGGTCAGAAGACGAGGCCCATTGTTGATGATCAGAGAAATACACAGAGGGAGCAGCCAAGTGCAGTTTATTTAAAAAAAAAAAAAAAAAAAAAAAAAAAGCGCACTCAAAGTGATATCAAGTGTATATCCACAGCAACAATTGGAAGTGGGGTGCCTCTTTATGCCAGGAAAAGCCAGGATCATCTTGCTACCTGAGCAGCTCTGACAGGTACAGACTCAGCATTGGCAGAGTGAAGGGGAGCTTGATGGTGTAACCCTTCTTACAAGACTTGGTGGGTATGGCAATGTCTTTGGGAGAACAACTTTCTTTCTCAAGCCTGTCCAAAGGGGTATGTCAGATGGTGTTGAAGTGGAAGGAAAAGGACACATGTAAGACATAGGCTAGAAAAGAGAAAACAGATGAACTACATTGTCAAGCAAGCCAAAAATGTATAACTATTCCAGCTAGTCTTTTTTTTAAATATATATATATTCATTTGGGTAAAAGAAAGTATTGAACACGTCACCATGTTTCTTAGTAAATCTATTTCTAAAGGGGCTATTGACATGAAATTTTTACCACACATCGGTAACAACCCATGCAATTCATTCATCCAAAGAAACCAAAACAAATTAGTTCAGAAATGAAGTTATGTGTAATAAAATGGAATGTCACAGCAAAAAAGAATTGAACACAAAGAAAGAGAGGCGCAAAGGCATGGAACGCCAAGACACCAGCTGAAATCTATTAGTAATTAGCAATCTGCTCCTTGTCAGAGCAAATTAACGTCCGCTGGTTCAGTCTCAGCTGATGGCCTATAAAAAGGTGTCTCATTACCAAGGTGTGACACAAGAAATATCTCATCTCCCAAGACATTCGCAACCTTATTGCTGAAAAAAAACAAAAAAAAAAAAACCATACTGATGGCATTGGTTACAGAAAGATTTCAAAACTTCTGAATGTTCCAGTGACCACTGTTTGGGCCATAATCCAGAAGTGTAAAGAATGTAATTTCACCATAAACTGGCCACAACTAGGTCCTCCTCCCAAGATTTCTGACAGAAGAGGGAGAAAAATTATCAGAAGAGTTGTCAAGGACCACTTGGGAGAGCATCAGAAAGACCTGGAATTTAGCAGGGCTTTCTGAAGCTCACCACGCAAGCCTCCATTGCTGAAAAAAAAAAAAAAAAAAGCATGTTTAAAGTTTGCTACACAACATTTAGACAAGTCTGCAAAATCCTGGGAGAATATAGTCTGGTCAGATGAGACCAAAATTTAACTCTTTGGATGCCATAATACACACCATGTTTGGAGGTCAAAAGGTACTGCACATCACCCCTAAAAATGCCATATCAACAGTGAAGTTTGGAGGTTGGAAAATCATAGTGTGGGGCTCTTTTTCAGCATACTGTGCTGGCAAAATTCATGTCATTGAAGGAAGGATGAATGGAAAAATGTACCACGACATTCTTGATAAAAAAAAAAAAAATCTGCCATCTACCAGGATGATGATGAAACGAGAGTGGACATTTCAGCAAGACCATGATCTCAAATATAAAGCCAAGGAAACTCAATTTTTTTTAATGAAAGAAAATAAAGTTGCTAGACTAGACTGGCCCAGCCATCGCCTGATTTGAATCCAATAGATAATT